GCTCATGGTTGGTACATAATCCCTTACCTAAAAAAGCAAGATTCGAATCCCCTTTCCTCCAATTATAAAAAAAATCTCTAATAGTTTAAAAAAATTACAAATGATTAATATTTACAAAATAAAATAAAAATAAATAATTATATATTATAATAACGGGTATTTTTATCTCTTTATCATCTATTCTTTGTTATTCTAAAATTATTTTTTCTAACCAAACATTGTAATAAATTATAATAATAATTCTTATTTTATTTTTGTTATTAATTAAATTATATAATAACAATTTTATTTTATTCTTCCTCAGATCTATTCTCATAAAGTATTTATTCTATTCCATGAACTTAAATGGTTTAACTGAGGATAGAAGCTGTTGAAGATCTTTAATTGATGTTCCTACAGCTAAGTAAGATTTCCCTTATGGACAGATCCTTTGCCACAAGAGTACTAGAACGGGACCTTCATCTTGCCCATGGTGAGCCCGACATGATTGGATTAAATCTGGGCAGGGACACAATATACCAACCCAACATACCTCTACCCAAACCATCCCAAGTTAAGAAAGGGATGGTTGAAGTTGGAAGTGCTGTGGTGGTGGAAGTATCGGATTCAGATGGTGAAGAAGGCAAAATATTATCGAAAAATGACAAGGCACTGAGTGAGGTGGATGCATTTGAGCCCGTCATCAAATTTAAATGCAAAAAAGTTGGTGAAAAGGGGGAAAAGAAAAGACAAGAACGTGGTAATGGTTTGATGGATTTTGTTCCATGATGGTTTGGGAACCGTTTGATGGATCCTGTAAGGTGAAAATTGGGATTAGAGCTAGCTTGTTTTTGGTGTTTAATGCTTTTGTTCTATGGTGGTTTTTGTTGGGTGAAATTTGGGGTTGGCTTCTACGTTGTTTCTGGTGTTATTATGCATGGTGGTAATTGTTTGATGGCTCCTATTCTATGGTGGTTTTGGAGCTGGTTGATGATTTATTCCAGGTGAAATTCAATGTTGGTTTCTACGTTGTTTGCAATTGTAATTAAGGGATGCAGATTAACTATCAATGGCCATGGTTGAAGAAGAAGACCAATCCCAAAAATCAAAGCTTGTTAGAGCACTGATGCTCCGGTATCATAAAAGAGTTTGATATGCAGAGAAAAGTTAAACGCATATTGTTGTTGGATGAATATATATACAATACAAATGAGACGATAGGATTGCTACCTAAAGAGATTCAAAGTTATCAACAAATTATTTGAATTTGAATCTTATGTACTTTTCTCATGGAGTATGTTCTTGGGACACACGGTTGGAGCTATATGACAACAATGATGAGTCATAACTCATAGGTCATATAACACTTGATCATAAATTTTGAAGGTGGGTTCACATTATTCCAACCTTTGTCTCAATAATATTTTGACAAATTTATCTCTTTTTAAGATGAGTTATTTCAGCAGCTACTTTAAAGACATTTTTTAATTTACCATGTAGTGTCTGGTTAACGGATGCTTTTATTTGTCAAGCAAAAATCCTGTGCTCTATAAATGTTAATGGAGGTCTCTAACTTTAAAAGCCAAGGATGTCATTGTTTAAGATTCGGACTGTAATTAGGTTGAAAATTTATAGGATATTCAATTTTATTATGGTTAAGGTTTTAGTTATTTTTCAAGTTTATGATATATAATATTTTTGAAATTGGAAATTCTTATAGTGTTGTAGTACTGACAAACTTTATGATAAGAAAAAACAAACCTAAATTAAACTTAAAACTTTGTTTCATTATGTAGACAGTATGATCTGTCAAACGTCGGACCTGGGCTCATGATTATCACCATGACATGCCTGGCTCGTAACTCCAGCAAAACAAACCCATTCCATGGAAAAATCTCCCTACTTTGAACGTGTCATCTTGGCTCTGTGATTGGAGCAACCAATCAAATCCTCTGCTCTTAACTTCCTAGTTCCAACTGAACTCACCATGGCGCTGGCAGCCGGGCCAAGCTCACCTCCTCAACTTCTTCCATCTAAAGCCATCGACACCCAAAATGCTTCTTCATTCGACCACCACGGCCGCATCCTCTTTGCCTTGAAACAATGCACGAACATGTCTACACTCAAACAAATCCACGCCCAAACCCTCCGTTCCGTCTCAGCTCACCATCCAAAAACCGTCTTTTTATACTCTCAAATCCTCCTCCTCTCTTCCTCCCTTGACTTCAACTTATGCCCTTCTGCTTTTCAATCAAGTTGAAAACCCCAATTCCTTCATGTGGAACACTCTTATAAGAGCTTGTGCCCACATGGTTAACAACAAAGAGCAAGCCGTTAGACTTTATCAGGAAATGCTAGAGCAAGCTCTGGTTTCCCTGACAAGCATACATTTCCGTTTGTTCTGAAAGGTTGTGCTTACTTGTTCGCTTTGTCTGAAGGGAGACAAGTTCATGCCCATGCTTTGAAACATGGGTTCGGTTCCGATGTTTATGTGAATAACAGTTTGATTCATTTATATGCAAGTTGTGGGTGTTTGGACTTAGCTGAAAAAGTGTTTGTTAAAATGTCTGGAAGAAATTTGGTTTCTTGGAATGTTTTGATTGAAGGTTTTGTTCAGTTTGGTAAGTTTAATAATGCTTTAGAACTGTTCCGTGAAATGCAATATAGGTTCGATCCTGATGGGTACACACTGCAAAGTGTTATAAGAGCTTGTGCTGGTCTTGGGGCTTTGTCTTTGGGCGCGTGGGCTCACGCTTATTTGTTGAATAAGTGTGATTTTGATTTATGTAGCGATGTTTTGATCAACAATTCGTTGGTGGATATGTATTGCAAATGTGGGTCTTTAGAATTAGCTCAGCAGGTTTTTGCGAGGATGCCGAGACGTGATGTAACTTCATGGAATCATATGATCCTAGGATTTGCAATGCACGGCCAAGCTCAGGAGGCAATAGGATGTTTTGATAAAATTATTAGGATGGAGAGTTTCAGGCCGAATCCTATTACATTTGTTGGCGTTTTGAGTGCTTGTAATCACAAAGGCATGGTTTCTAAGGGTCGTGAGTATTTTGATTTGATGATTAATGATTACGGGATTAAACCTGGATTAGAGCATTATGGGTGTTTGGTTGATCTTCTGGCCCGTGCTAGGTTTATTGATGACGCTCTTGACATTGTATCAACAATGCCTATGAGACCTGATGCTGTTATCTGGAGAAGTCTTCTTGATGCTTGTTGTAAGAAGACTGGCAGGGTTGATCTAAGTGAAGAGTTGGCCAGGCAAGTCCTTGAATCAGAAGGAGACATTGGCAGTGGTGTCTTTGTGCTGTTATCAAGAGTTTACGCTTCAGCTAGCAGGTGGGATGATGTTGGATTGGTAAGGAAATTGATGACTGATAAAGGTGTAACAAAAGAGCCAGGTTGTAGCTCAATTGAGATAGATGGCGTTGCTCATGAACTTTTCGCAGGGGACACATCTCATCCTCAAACTAAAGAAATATACCAGATGCTAAATGTGATTGATGAAAAACTAGCATTGGTAGGGTATTCACCTGACCATTCACAAGCACCTATGGTTGACGAGCTAGATGAGGCTAGACAATATTCTCTTAGGCTGCACAGTGAAAGAATTGCTATTGCTTTGGGCCTTTTGAAGTTCAAACCGGGCATGCCAATACGTATTTTTAAAAATCTTCGGGTATGCAATGACTGCCATGAGGTAACTAAATTGATCTCTAGAATTTTCAAGGTTGAGATTTTTGTACGTGATCGTGCCAGATTTCATCACTTTAAAGATGGCTCCTGCTCATGCTTGGATTATTGGTGATGATTGTTTGCAGTGTAAAGTAATGTGTAAGTTGCACAGTGTACATGACATAAATTTTAGAATATCTATTGAAGCTAGGATACAGTTAGACGGTTGTGTTGTGCTGCTGTATCATGTAAACTGAAATCACAACAGGAAGAGGTTATGAAATAAATTTTTTTTCCTTTGGATGCATTCATTGCTAACATATGACTTCCCTGATATGGACAGGGCAGCCAATCTGTTGCAACAAACTGAGATCTCAGCATCTTCTTTTTGCCTCTTGAAGAAGTCTACATACATACCTAATTCAGTTGCAGAAGCTCAATTATAATAATTATATTGCAATCGTGTATGCGTATACCTGTGTTAAGTATTGACTCCAATGGACTTACTGGAAGTGCTTTATCTGAGGTCATCTGGACGTGGTTTCATCATCATCTTAAGATGAAAATGGGCAATCGGTATGATAGGATGCAGTTCTGGGATTCGGACAAGGATAGATGAGAGCTGTACAGCAAAGAAAATGCTTTCTCATGTGCCTCCCTCTCCCTCACATTGAATAGATCTCATTCTGCCAGAATGGCTAGCAGGAGACGAAAGATGGTTTTCCTGCTTTTAAGTTGGCTTCAGCTCAAGGTCAATATATTGAGTTCTAACATTTATCATTAAATAACTAAATAGATAATGGCTTACGACAGCCACTTCCATTTATCAATTTTAGTTCCATCGTTTGAAGCACTTGCTTCTGCTGGTATTGGCAAATCTTGACTTCCCGGTTCCCACTTCAGCCTTTCATGCGTCCAAGGTCATTAGATTTTAGATTGCTTCGAAGTATCATTTAACCACCATTTGCAAACAAAACTGCTCCCAGTTGTTCAACAACCGTGAAAATTGGAAATTTACTGCCCTTCTACAGCTATATTATTTTCTCTTGAAAATTAGTTGCTACTTTCCTGTGAAGAAATAACCAAACCATAATCCACCTTTACTGTTTATGACAACATCATGTTTTCAAGTAGAGCGCTTGAAGCTTAAAGCCACTTGATTTTGCAGTCTGCTGCAAACGTTTTATGTGCTAATGGTAACACAATGTGAAAAGTTCATAGCGCGGCAACTAAAATCAACTGCAATAATTTCATTTATTAACCATGAGACAATTTTGCAACAACATAAGCTCCATAATACCTTATTGGTTAAACATAGAAACTGCAGGAAGTTGGAGATAACAAGCACGGTCATCTATATCTTGAATTTGAAATAAGTTTGGCCAAAAAATTCTACATCAAAAACCAATCAATGAAGCACATAAGGAAGCAAGGATCAAAATTAATATTTTACAAAGGATAAATTTGTTGGCAGTGTGCTATAATTATCCTCTGCCAAAGCAAGAACATTACTCTCTACTGGATTTTACCCAACTTTATCACTGTGAGAACGCAACGGGATGAAGGTTACTCACTGAATGCTTTTAGCTAGCATAAGAAGAGACTTAAGTAGAATGTACAGCGCACGTATTTTTGAATCTGTGTCGTGAACAAAACTGTGAAGTTCCTTCAATGCAGCTCACAAATTAATTCCTTGTTTTGCAAAATCTCTTGCCACTGCAACACCCGAAGAAAAGAAAGTAAATGATAAGGCACATAGATAAAGAGGAACCATGTCATATGAAGCAGAAAGAAACGGCCAAGAAAATATAAGGTATTACAGGGCCACCATAACCAATGGAGCTATTCAGATGATATAGTGAAAAAGAAATGTCTCAATATTATGTTAAAAGAATTTATCGAATTAGATGCAGTTAACACTAAACCGTTCAAAAACATTTCCCCAAGGCTATGCCTGTTAGGAGAGAGTGGGGAAATGGCAATAGTTAGGTGGAGAAATGGAAAGATGCCCAGTTTTTTGTTGGCCTCGCAAAAACTAAACCAAGTTGGAAAGATCAGAGAAAATGAGAACGATATAAGTCAAATTTATAAATTTTCCAAATTGTTCTTTTTCAAAATTTTCCTTCTCTATCTTCACTTGTAAGCAGTATAATGGTAAATTAAACCAGTAATAAATTTTTTCTCTCATTTCATTTTACTTCTGCAAGCAAGGAAAAGAAAAGGAACTTCCTTCTTTCAATAAATTTTCTATCTTTCACAACAACTAGACCACATCCCTTAATACACATATTTGGTGTTAAGATTGTGAAGGCAGCATATTTGGCCCTACACACAAGAATTACATTTGCAAATACTTAACATATTGCAATTGTTCTTTGCAGGTTGCAACCAGTCCACCAAGCAGAACATGACTAATAGATAATCCAAGTATGAACACATAAGAAAGGAAAGCAAAATGGCAATATACATCAATATTATTTAACGCATCGACTTTATTCAGCTCTCAACTTCATGATAAGAAATTCAACTTCTATCACAAAAGGAAAAGAGAATTTACTTTGCGTATGCATTAAGCATAACATGTATTGAAAAGAGTAGATAGAAAAATCATAGCAACTCAACAAGAAGTCTCACCTTTTGATGCTAGTGGAACTAGAACAACATGCATATCTGCATTGTTGGGAGGAAGCTGCAAGCGAAGAGGAAAAAGCTTCCCATTTAACGGACTGCGAGTACACACCACAACATCCTCAAGGCCTGACTCTTCCTTCAATTTGTGAGTCAATTCATCCACACTATTACCCTTAAAACTAAAAGAGTAACCCTCCACTGCCTCATCATCAACCTCCCCATTATCATCTGCTACATGGTAGTATATTGTCCGACCTTCCGATTTTGGCTGTGAACCCACATATGAATCACTTGACTACAAATAAAAAACATAAAAATTTAGGTAAAAAACCCACATAAGAATCACTTGGCTCAATATCAAACAAATGAAAAAACAAAGGCTACATATCAAACAAATGAAAAAAAAAACAATTAACCCAAAAGTTAAATTATTAAAAGAATAGATCAGGAGAAATAACTTTGGCCCTGCTCTAACTCGGACACTAGATTGCAAGCTAAATGAATGTACAACCAATGAGCATCAAATACCGTAATTGTTGATTAAGAAATACTAAAACAAAGTTAAATACAAGTTTAGATCTTCCAACCTCTTGTCTAGAAAACTTTCCAGATTTGCCTGAAACTGCAGAAGGCGAAGTAGATTCAAAGTCCAATGAATCTGCGTGAGGAATAGCAGGAGGAAACGAGGGCTGATGGCCACTCCCTGGAGACTTGACTTGAATCTCCACAATATCCACATCCCACAACACCCAATCTTGAGTAGCAGTCCTATGAGGAATATCGTGCGTCACCGAGTTCCTCCAAGGCGGTAACCCTCCATTTGCTCTCAAGAAGTTACCGTACCGAGTCTTGAGCTTAACCTGAGACCCTTCTCTAATGGGTTCCCACTCGACCGATGAGTCGAGCCTCCTAGGGAGCAACTGAATCACCTTTCGACCGGTCATCCCAAGTAAAAAGGGTTGGTTCGAGGCAGTGAGATACTTGTTGTAAGAGCTTTTCAGGCGGATGATGTTTTGGGATCCGGGGACGAACTCGACGGTCCATCGGGCGTTTTTGGAGGATCCGTTTCGGTCTTGAGTAACGGAATCTTCGTCTTCCTCGGCGAGGAGATACTTGTCGTGGTGGCTGCGGAGACGCACCGCTTTGGCGTTGAGGAACAAATCCATTCCCGTCCGGAAATTGTTGGAATTGACCTGTTGAAAAAAATGGAAGAAGAAGGAAGAGCAAGTGATTAAACACAGACCAGACTTTTCTCCCACTATTATCCTTTTTTTTTTTTTTTGTTTATTTACTGAAGAGGGAGTCTTTAAAATAGGAGGGAAAGTGAGGGTGTACTCTTCACGGCAAATGGGTGCCAGTCAGCGCCAGCCGCTGTGGGTAGGCGCACGCGGCAATTACGTGGCAGATTTCCTTCATTTAAGGTTAAGGATTTCCCATATTGGATTGAAGGGAAGCATTTTCTAACCTTTTCTTCAGTTTTCCTTAAATAAAATCACTTTTAATTAAATCAAGGATTCCTTAACTTTACCATTAATATGTTTAACGGACGTCCTTGATATTTTCAAAGTTACTATGTGTCATTATTCATGTGGGAAAATTTTATCATGTGTCATATGTAGCTAATTAAAGGTTTTTTCCCTTTCTTTTTTTTTTAAATATTTTTTTAATGAAATATTAAAAAATAAACCTTGATTGTCATGGTATCTAACAGTATAGTTATCACAAAAGTCTTTAAGTGAATTCTAAATTGATTAATAATAAAAATTAAGATGGCTCAAGTCCCAAAAAGTAAGTTTTAACTGTTTTCAACTAGTCAATTTTCAATATTTCAGAATAAGATAAAAAAACCCATTTTTTTATCTAAAAAATTCTAATCTCCACAATCGACCCAATCCCTCGATTATAACTACCATTCAAATAATAAATGTCGACCAATTGAACCGTGGTGACTGATCACCGTCGGCTCGGGTCAGTTGATTGTATCTATAAGAATTAAGAGCTCAATCGAATCTTATTTTTCAAAAAGACAAAAAAAAAAAGAAGAAACATTTGAATTATTTATAATGAGAAAATTAATTAGCGTGTGGTTCACGTCTTTGCCCACTTCTCAAATCATGAGGCTAAAGACAAGAAGTCCTATTGCATATTCAGTTTTCATACAGACAAAACTACAAAGGAAAGGTGCTTCAAGGAATCATTCATTGTTCATGACTCAAAGCAATCTTTCGAAGGTGAACCCCACTTGGGAAAGGCTTTCATTTTTCAGCTATTGTGACGCCATTACCCAACAGGTCATCAGTTTCAAGGATAATAGGCGGAGAACCACCACAATTGGGCATACAAGATTTCACTATCTTTTCTTTCTTTCTGTGAATTGCTCAAGGACTGTTTTATTTTACTTTTTCTACATAATAATAATACATATACATACATACATACATACATAAAGAGGAAAGAGTCTACGATTGCCTTAATTTATCTTAATCGTGAAAGAAAGAAACTTATACCTGCCAAGGTGCAGGATTCACGAGCAAAAAGGTGTGATTATTGACCTCAAACTCAAAAGTCTTTTCCTTTTTTGTTTAACAAAGCTAGTGCGGGAGGGTTGGTGAAGTGGAGTGTGATCAATCCTGCCACCATTCAGCATGCTCTGACTAAGTATTAATTCATTTTTTTCCCTATGTTAACTAATGGTTTAACACCCAGAGGAATAAACACATATCTATATGGACTCTCATGTCCTAATCTAAGTTTACTACTACTTGACTTGCAGCCATTGCCCTATATGAAAATACTGATTTCCAACTCGAGTTTACATATGTATCTCTCTCCTGTTGCTATATTACACCCTATATTTTACACTTGTTAATGTGCTTGTTTGTTGATTTTGTAGTTCGTTTAAAGGTGTAGATTTGGTAAAGAAATTTGATTAAGTTGTAAATGAACTAGCATACTTACACACTTATTATTTTTGTTATTGTTGTTTTTTTTTGTGTACATACTTACATTACATGAATTTTTTTATTTTTTTATTTTTTTTTTCAAATGTCTTCATCAATCCTGACACCCTTTCAAGCATTCACACCTCTGTATATGCATGATCTGACACCACAATATATTGCTCCCAAGTGTTTACATTATAATATTTTGAGATTAAATTTAAAATTACGAATTATATTTTAGGGTAATTGATTAAATATACCATTTTATTTTTAAACAAGTGTAATTTTATTATTGAATTTTTTTATTCTGTTTAAAACTTGTTGAAAGTTAGAATATTCATCTATTAGTTCATGAAATATTCTTTTATCGTTTAATGTTTGACAATCTTCTAACCAAATGAAAAAGTATAGTGATAAAATTACACCAAATAATAAATTTGATCCGTTATCTAAACAAAAATGATAAAGCTAACCTTATCCCTAATATCCTCAGCATTGAAAAACACTAGTTATATTGGATTTGCATCGCAATCCAAAAGATTAGCCTACTAATTAGTGAGTGCTCCCGATCTTTCATAGAACCCCAAAACCATCCTAATACACTTGCAATACGTAAGACTCAACGCACGCCACGGGCTATTGGGCATCCCCCAATAACTTCTGGAATGGTGTATAGCACCTATCATCCTTCTTTACTTAAAGGAAAAGTTGATCATAAACAGTGTGTGTACCCGGTCTATTCACAATTACATATTAAACGCCTAATTCTAACAATAATAATAGATATATAGTTTGTGTCCCTTTCGTGCATGTTTTGGCGTTATTGATGATAATGTGTTTGCATTGGGCAAAAAAGAAAAAGTCTGTTTTGCTGAACCCAGTTAGTCAAAATTTAGCTCTACCCACGGTATGCATTTACTACTATTTCATCCCTTTGGATTGAAAGTAACTTAGGGTTTATTTGGTGTAGATAGATTGTCGAAAGTAATAATCTGGTATAGCTTTCTATCCTTTATTATACGATCAATAATTGAATCAGCTTCCTTTTAGTTAACGTTGATATCAATCAAGTAAGAAAACTTAAATTAACAAGTTAATTCAGGGCAAAAAACGTACCTGTTTAGCTGACAATTTCGGCGACCCTGTTGAAACGATTGAAAACCTTGGAGAATTCACCGATGACACGACCGAAATAGGCGAGTGGGCACCTGACCCTAAAATATCATCGCTCAAAGCCTCCAAAACTTCATCAGACACCGAAGAAAAGCTCGAAACTGACGACAAATACTCCATGAACGGCTCGGACTCTGGCACCTGCACCGCCTCCACATCCCATAATATCCATTTCTGCGTAGCGCCAGTATGAGGTTCGTCGTGAGTGATGGAGTTCCTCCATGGAGGTGTCCCTCCGTTGGCACGTAAAAATTTACCGCACCAGGTTTTCAGCTTGATCTGGAACCCGTCTCTTATAGGCTCCCACTGGAGTTTCCAATCCATCCTATCGGGTACCGTTTGCAGCACTTTTTTACCCGTCATGCCCAAAAGAAAGGGTAAATCAGTGGCTGCGAGGTACTTGCCATGACAGCTTTTGAGGCAGATAACGTTTGGTTTATCCTGGACAAGCTCGACGAACCACCTAGCTCTTTTTCCCGAGCTGTTGCGGCTTTGACGGACGGTTTGTTGATCATCATCGGCCACTAGGTACTTCTCCAGGTGGCTCCTGAGTTTCACGGCCTTTGTTTTTGTAAAGATCTCCATGCACAAACAAGACCCAGCTTATTGGTTATAGAAAAAAGAATTTAATGGAAAAGGGCGATTTATAAGTGAAGAAATATTCTTATGTACACAGAGGGAAAAAAATGGTGTTTTTTTGCCTAGAAAGAGTGGAGAGGGGCCAGGAGATGCACGGGATTAATTAATCTAGATTCGGTGGGTATATGATAAAGGAATGATTTGTTTGATATTTCTTGTAAGGATTAAACTAGTAGGAATTATTTAGTTTCTTAGTTAGCAAGGCTGCGACAGCAGGGCCCGAAGAAGATGAAGGGGAAATGACCAAAGAGGAGTCTAAATCTTGGGGTTGACGATGAAAGTTCCAGGTACATGCCATCGTTTTTTACAATGCAAAAGGTCAATTACGCACGCGCTCGGATAGGATGATGATGTGGGAGACTTAAGAACGCGGCATCCAATTTATGGGGCGACGAGGGTGCAAGTGTTTCGTCGCATGACGCGTGGGCTTGGCTATTTGGAGGAAGGTCTTGTAGTCCCCGTTCCCCTTACCTCTAGAAGCTCAGCTTTAGACCATGACTTCCTTTCTAAAATCTATATAGATCAGCGGACGTGAGAAGGTTTGGGGAAACATCATCAACCGCTGCCCTGCTCAAGTTTGAACGTTGAAGGAAACATTAGTTTACTGCATACAAATTTTTAAGAATGATTACATGGCTGATGGCCCTTCTGTTTTTACCCTTTTTAACCTCACACAAGAAAAAAAAATGATCATGAAACGTACAGTAGGTCAAGATCTATATTCGTCATTGCTTACAAATTTTCCAGGAAAATGCTATACTTGGGTTTTCAAGAATGGCGCAAACCTCCCCGCAATAATGGAAGATTCAATCTACACATTGAGAAAGGAAAAGAGCCTTCTATCCCGAATCACAGGGTGACATTACATACATATTTTCAAATTCCCTTCTTTTAATGGCCGGCCCCAAAACTATTGAAACGGCATACTGTATGAAGCCCAAAAAATTGTTTATATGCAACAAACGCCACGCCTGCATAATTTCCAGAAAAGTAATCAAGCCCAGTGTCAATACAAATACTTAAATTTCAACCTTACTAAAATTTTAACAAGACGCAGAGGCAGAGGCAGAGGCAGCAATTTAGATTAGTGTTAGGTAGTGTAGGGTGTAGGCTGTGGGGAATTAGACCACCACGCACAGTTCCAGATTCCACTAAAAGGCCTCAGCTAAATAGGGCGGCGTGGTGCTCAAGTCAGTGGACTTGTTTAAGTTTTTTAGCTTATGCTTTTCATCTATATGTGTGAACACAACAAATGTTTAATACTCTAGTTTGAAGAAAGGGTTTACACCTAAGCTATGGAGAGTAGTTTCGTTTTTTCTTTATTATTATTATTAGTTTCTCAGATAACAAAAATATAAAAATAAAAACAGTGTCCCGTGAACGGCGTGAACGTTCCCAGTCTTGACACTACTAAGACATGAAATTTCCGAAGGAATATCATGGGATATGATACCATTGTAAGATGGACATTTACACTTCGAATACTCCATCTCATCCCAATTTATTACAAATATTTATTACGAGTGACTGTCATGGTGGTAAATGGCAATTTCCAAAGTTACCATTTCTTTTTTGTATATATAATTAGACCCTAAATCAAAGTGCTTGCACACATTCAAAAAGGACGCCATTCTGAAAAAAAGATAAAGAAAGCAAGAAAAGTAGGGCCAATATTTTCCTTCACCCTGACCTTTGGCTTGCCTCGGGCCAGCGCCCATTCTTTTTCTTTTTTCTTGTCTTCACTTCACCTCAGTTCACGTGACAACTTCTTCCCCACCCTGCTTCCCTCAGCACGATACGGAATTGAAGTCTTCCTCGCGCTCTCCACTCCAAGACTCCAAGAACCTAGGCAACCACGCAAGGCAAACATAGATAGCACTCAACAATTCAGATTCAGATCTCTACCTTTGACCCTTTGATGACCTCTATCACTTGCAAAGTCTCCCATCTTCCTTCATGCCTCCACCACCGTCAATCTCCTCTGTATTAACCGCATCCTCTTCATCTCTCTTCATCAGCTGGTCGCTGAAGCTACTGTAACTCATCACTCATGTTCCTCTCATCCGAAACCTTCTCTAGATCCCCATGTCCACCCTTCACTTCTACTCCTCCTTTCCCTTTCTCTCTCTCACCAGGCTGTGGCCACCCCTCTTTCCACATCAAATGCTCCACTCCTTACTCTACTATCTCCATTAACAACCTCTCTTTTTCTTTACTCAGATATGAACTCAACTCCACTTCCCTCACTCTCTCCCCCCAATCCCCAACAAACCCCCGTTCCAGTTGCCCTTCTTTCCATTTCCTTTCCATTCCACTCACTCCATCGATCTCTCAGGTTCCCCATTTCGAATCTCCGACGGTTCTTGTTCAAGACTATCCGTTCTCCACTCTTGTTCCCCTCCAAATCTCCCAACTGTAGCCAATGCCCCTGGGAATGCGGGCTCATAAAAAACCCAGTCAAACTCCTCCATGGCTGCGGATCCAACCGCCCTCTACCGGGACAAGGCTGCCAAGCTGACGTCTTGGGTTACCTCGAAAATTTCATGTCCACAATGGGTTTTCAAGTAGAATGGGACGAAGCACAAGACTCTTACTTTTCAAGCTGCAAAAACTGTAATCAAAGAACGGTATTTGCGGCTTCAATTCCTCAGACCCCAACAAACAATTCCTTTGTTTCCAATCCAAAACCACCATTTCCCCACCTTGGATTCACGTAGATCACCCTCATAGAATCGCAATCTTATCCTCTGTCTTCACATTGACATGCATTTTCCTTATTATTTCAGTAACCATAGCTATTTTTCGATCCAAAAAACTCAAATCTCAATCCATAGAAGACCCAACAACTTTATTCCTCCGCCTTCACCGTTCCGCTAGTCTCCTCCCGCCCGTTTTCACCTACGAAGAACTCGAATCTTCAACCAACAAATTCGACCCAAAACGCAAAATCGGCGACGGTGGCTTCGGGTCCGTCTACTTAGGCCAACTCTACGACAATCGAATCGTAGCCGTTAAATACCTCCACAAAAACAACCAGTCAGGCAAAGCCTTATCATCCAAATTTTTCTGTAACGAAATCTTAATTCTTTCTTCTATTAACCACCCGAATCTCGTTAAACTTCACGGGTATTGCAGCGACCCTAGAGGGTTACTTTTGGTTTACGATTATGTACCTAATGGAACCCTAGCTGACCACCTTCACGGCCGTCCAAAACCCTCACTGACGTGGTCTGTGAGGCTCGAAATCGCTTTGCAAACTGCTTTAGCTATTGAGTATTTGCATTTCTCCGTCGTGCCGCCGATTGTTCACCGGGATATCACGTCATCAAACATTTTTGTGGAAAAAGATATGAGGATTAAAGTAGGGGATTTTGGGCTTTCCAGGCTTTTGGCTTTCCCCGAAAATTCGTCTTCCAAGTCGGATTTTGTTTGGACTGGGCCTCAGGGGACGCCCGGGTATTTGGATCCGGATTATCACCGGTCGTTCCGGTTAACAGAAAAGAGCGACGTTTACAGCTTCGGCGTCGTTCTGTTGGAGTTGATTTCCGGGTTAAAAGCGGTGGATCAAAGGAGGGAAAAGAGGGAAATGGCGTTGGCTGATTTGGCTGTTTCGAAGATCCAGATGGGATTGTTGCATCAGGTGGTGGACCCCGTTCTGGCGCATGATGGGGAAGCGATGGACGGTGTTGATGCGGTGGCGGAACTGGCGTTCCGGTGCGTGGCGGCTGATAAGGATGATAGACCGGATGCGAGGGAGATTGTGGAGGAACTGAAACGGATCAGGAGCCGTACACGTGTGCTTAGAGTGTCGTATTCGAATGGGAGTAACACTGAGGTGTCCAAGCGTTGATTTGGAGTTGACGTGACGTGGGGGATAGGTAGGGGTCCACGTCCACATGTGGGGAATTTGACCCGAGCATGTGTCAGAGATGTATCCTTTTCAATTTTACTGTGGTTTTACACGTTCCTTCTCTTTAGCTACTTTGTTTGTTCAAGTCTAAGCAGTAAATTTTGGGAATGTACAGAGGAGGGGTTTTGGGGGAATTTATTTTTGAGACCCCACGCTGTTGTAATCAATGTAGCATCTATGGAACAGTCAAGCAGTAGTAATAATAAGCTTTGTGGACTGCTACGACCCAACTAAAATTCCAAAGCTAATAGTGCCGTGAATCATTCTGATTTCGATAGGGTAATGCTTTTCTTGCAGAATGGGGCCAATGTTAATGGGATGTACCCTTTGTGTCTCAAACTGGTTTTTCCCTTGGATGCTACAATTTTTCATCTCTTTCATTACCCCATTAACTGACGTGGAACGCTTCATTCCATTTCTTGCCCTCCATGCCCCAGTTCCCAAGTCGGCGGAAAACATATTCAAATTTTCTTGTGGGGTATGCACTTTCTACTCAAACCTCACTTGCCATCTTCTGCCCACATGTAGCTCTAGCCTGTAGGGCATGTCCTTTGTGTAAACAGGGTAGGTGCCTGTGTGAAGCCGGTCATATGCGCTGAAAAAGCTTTGCATCCCCGTACCAAACCCACACTGTTGTCTTAAGCATGGACACTGCAGCGCAGAGAAAGCCTAAGTTTTCAAGATTTCATGCGATTCTACATATAATTACATGAGCTTTCTTGTCATGTCAAAATGTTGATTCAAGTAGCACTAATTTAAGGGGCACTTTTGATATCAGATGATGTAATTTACATGACATTTTATTTTGATGGTTTCCTTGAGGTAGTGAACGATAGTTCGAACTCTTATTAAAACCAAGCACCCAGATTATGGTGTATCTGGCTAAGTTGTGCTCAGAGAGGCTAGTTGAAATATGCTGCTTCTAATACTCTGGCTTTCTCACCAATGGTTGCAACCTCCTGCCTGCCACTCAGATTATAGCCTTTCTCCTGGACATTAGATAAAAGAATATACACATGCATTAGTATGCAAAATGTCATGTTTAAATGAGCATAGCAAACAGCTTATATATGTCAAGGTATAGTTGTATATACCAGCAGACGCCACAGGAAAGGTGCTCCTTCCCTCTTCTGGATCTGTTTCTCAATTGATTCAATTGCTATAATTCAGATAGTGAGTCAGAAACCAATCACCATAAATAACTAAATACAACTTTCAACAAGATTAGGTGTCCTACCTTTGGTAACTTGTCCAGTATTCAGCAACATACTGTACCAGACTTCATTAAATACATCAAGCTGCTCATCAGAAGCCCCAATAATCTGACA